ACAGAAAATGCTTCATCAGAAATAAGGGCGACATGTTTTATTATCCCCACTTCCTTGGTTTTTTCTTCTATAAAAATCATCGTGTGTTTGTATACTATTCTTACTCTGGGAACATCTTTCAGTCCACGTAAACATCTGTACTTAGTTATGTTAGCCAGTATCCAAATCCCAGCGACATCCTGCCCTGATTATTTTGCTAGGAGTGTTTTTGCCAGCTTCTTTTCCCAGAACACACTGGATTTATAGCTATGTCCAACCTCCAGATTTGATGGTTAGAAGATTGTAACACACATGCTCAAACTGAATGCCTTTTGTACTAGGACAGAGTCTTTCCAGCAGGCTTAAGTAACAGGCCATTAATTTGTGCTAGCAGATTTCATTAGCAGCAGGAAAGTGAACTATTGTTGGACACAATTTGCTGGTCTGTATTTTTAATTATACTGTTTGACCTACATCTTTTGTCCAATTTCCTTAATGTCTAGTTATAAAATATTTATAACTAATGTCTAGTTATAAAATATTCAAATACTAACAAAACCTGTTGTGGCAAGTTTGCATCACAGCGTAAAAGAACCCAGATTTTGAGTAAATAAAGCAATTAGTCTTTTTTAGGATCACTGCGTGGTTTTGTCTGCTGCCATTTATAGCTAGATTCAAAACATTCATTAAAAAAAAAAAAAGGAAATATACAGTTTTGTCTGAGAAGATAAACAAAACCATACAAGATATAAATCAAAACAAGGATCTGTAAAAGAGTAGAGCAAGCACTTACTCAGCCAAAACATATTGTTCTCGTGAAGAAGACTGCTCTGACCACTGTGCTTTCTCCAAATCTAGGTTTCGGGTGTTCAAGGCCAGAACTTTTTTGGAGCATAACATGTGAAGCATTCCCAGCAAAACTCACTGTGATCTGCCTGCCTGGTTCTCGCAGAGCTGAACCTCGCCAACACTTGTGCACAAGCTTAACTTCATCATGGTGCTTTCTGCAGAATTATTCCTTGCTGTATATTTCTTTGAAGACTTACGTGATTGACAACTGCCTCAAACTGTGAATATGCTAACAAATAAATAAATTAGCTCACCTCCTTTCCTACCCCCTACCCCCTCACCCCCCAAGATACAATCTAAAACCAAATTTTCTGGGTTTCTTCAAGAAAGAAAACTTGCTTGGGGATACAAAACTTCCTTTGTGTCTTGTTGGACTCTCTCAGCCCATGCTGAAGCGCATCTGCTTTGCTTTAGTGTGTGAAAACACATGCATTAGAGAAATAAAAACTCCAGAAAAGAAAGCAGCTGTATACCTGTAAAAATCCCTGTAAAAAAGGTATAAAATTTTATTTGACAAGTTAACAAGTAAGCATTTTATTAATCCATTGGAACACTTTGTTACAAGCCAGTGTAGTTGAATTATAGCTACCCTACATGAAAGTTAATTCTGAGGTGAACAAACTGACCTACTAGTGAGTAGGCAGTTTAGAATGCGTATCTGTATCTCTGCTATACCTAGTTTATTTTTAAAAGGTATTTTGTGAAATTAAAAATTTACTAGCTAACAGACAATTTAAAAAACTTGTAACACAGTAAAGTTCAGAATTATTGCTTCCACATGATATCATCTTTTTTCAGTGTTGACTGAAGTTTCTGCACATTTTTAAGCAGCTGAAGAGAGCTTTTGCTTTTCTGCCCAGGAAAAGATTTAGACGTACTTTCCCTTACAGTGACTGACATCTCCGTTGCTTCCTTTTGGTCACGACGCTTTAGTTTGACATGAGCTGCCCCTTGCTTCAATTTCTGAGTATTTCTCTTTAATTTCTGCACCTAGAAAGAGAGATTTCTAATTAGAATGCTATATATTCAGAAGACCTACAGCTGTAGAGCTTACTGGACTTCTACCAAACTCCAAACTAAAGACGTCTAAGGGACATTTTAAAAAAAAAAAAAAAAAAAGGAAAAAGGGTGAAAACCTACCAATCTCGCACACAGTTGTCTCACTGTAATAGCAAGCACTACAAAAACTGATCTCATCCACATGGGAAGCATTACAGAAAACTGACCTCACCCACTCAATAGGTTGTTGAATCCCATCACTCCCTAAGGTAAAAATGTTTGCTTGAGAGAGACAGAATATCATCTGTTACCAATTTATATTTACAAGGGTCTTACTCCGCTTCAGACTGTACTACCCTAATGGGAAAAAAAAAAAAACACCACCACCAAACCAACAAACCTACAAAATGTATACTGTTTATTACTGGTTACTGTATCTAAGCAGTTCACTTTGAAGCCTCATAACAAAACTGGAAAACAGAATAAATAGGGTTGATCACTAAAGAATGGGTTTTTAAATGTCAAATAATAAGTCTTGACTCGCACTTGGCATGAAAAGGTCACTCCCAAAGATAAAATTAGACTGGAAGCATTCTGTATGCCTATTTAGGCTTTAAGTCCATTTTTAAAAATAATTAACTTTAATCACATTCTAGCACATACTATTAACTGTGAAACACAGAGATGACTACAGCACTTAGTGTGACAGGTTCTAAAAGCAGAAACATGCACCAGAAATGTTAAGTTTGGTCTGTACAAAATACAAACAGAAATGTCTGTGTGCAAATGCACCAGAAAAATGATATAGTGGAAGGGTTACAGGAGTGGCCTGTATTGCTAACCAGGGCATGATGGACAATAATCAAGCAGACAAACATGAAGAATGTGCTATTTACATCACAACCCTAAGGCGTGTGCTCTGATAAGGCTGTACCAGAGCACAGATGACTCGGCAGCAGATCTGCACCCTGATAACAGGCAAGGATGACAACAAGGTTGCACCACTTTGTATGTGCTATTCCTCTTCTCATCATCCCCAAAGGAAGGCAGGCTGTAGCCATAACGACATGCAAAAGGAAGAAAAAGAGGTGCAGTTGTTGTCCATTGTCTAAGGTTCCTCAAGGACAAAGTCAGCAAGATTCTGAGGCAAGACATAGCACCATAATTGTTGGCTCCTCAAGAATATAGGAGATTTATCCAAAAGACAGCTGACATCATTACCAAGAGAGGCAGTGAGGACTCACAGTCAATGATGTCCTTTGTCCATACTGCTAACATGCAACTCTGACAATTCCACTTTGACATAAGCACCTTTGTGCTTGCAATTACATGGACAATAAACAGGTTTGAGTGAGTAAAACCAACCAAAGAACGGATGTGAATAACATTGGTCAGATTTAAATGAACTAGCACCTCCCCCTTCTCTAAGTTCTCACACCGAGTTTTGTTTCCTGTATAAGCAAAATTCTTAGGTGAGTCTACTTATCCTGAAACATAAGATAGAACAGAAAACTATGGATTGAATTTTTTATCATATGTTCCAAACCAAATGGCTACAAAAGGGTTAAGCTGTTCATCTACAGAAAGGTGCTTTTATATAGGCACATTATCTATGGCTCTAAAACAAATACTGACAGAATGCATACAGGTTAGGGGTTAAACAAAACTGAAAGGCTTGTCTGGCTATGACTTTGGGGAAGCTGTGGTCTAACCAAACAGACCATTCAGTTAATAAGCTTCAATAATTCAGTAATATAAAAGACATTGAATCCAGTCTGTACAGGAATTACAGTATCCTCTTCCTCATTCCCCACAAGGACAGGACACAAAGGAATGAAACCTCAACAGTATGTTTTAACGCAGTGAGCAGCTGAGCAACCCAGCTCTGTGCTGCAGAACTGCTACAGGGCAGGAAGTTTTTGCACTGGTGTAGATACTCAGCTGCCAGCTGTAAGTACTTTTTCTTGATCAAAAGAAGGAACTGGAGGTACAAGAACACTGAGCTAGCAGCCTAATTATAATCACTCTTGCTGGAACATCCTGGCTTAAGCATTCCAGTGACATTCGCGTTCGTGACAACAGGAGGCAGAGTTGTGGCAGACTTTAGTATCTAGAGTGTTACTAGCTAGACAGGTTACATCTTCCTCTTACAGTAGCCTGATGCTTTCTCAGCTTGGATATTTGCTCTCCTTTAATCTCCATTTGTTTTACAAGGGAATCCAGTTCCCGTTCTAGGTCTTCACGAACTTTGGAGTCTTGAGTCTCCTGTGCCTGCTTCAGAAGTTGTTGATGCTCACTGTTAAAGACAAGAATGACACACTAAGTATTCACAATATAGTCTCTAGGATTTCTTCCAATATTTTCAGTGTATTGCAGGAATTGCTAGCTGTTTTTTCCAGAGTATAGCAATTTGGCATTATTTACCCCTGCACACAATACACATTAATCTGGAATATATTCACACTAGAAAAGTTTTTCCAGTAGGTCTGATTTTCTCATTCCAAATTCGTAGCTGATGTGCACCTTTCTTCCTTCCCTTTGCCACAATCATAACACCTACGTGTGTAATAACGTGCAGAATGAGAATTTGGAAAATGAACAGCAGCTATGCAGCACGGTATTTTCACTTCCTGACCAATTTAGTGCAGACTTTGAAAGCTTAGCGTAATACAGGAAATTACTGTTTAAACTAGTAAATTTAATTTATAGTTTTTCTGATAGGTAATTCAAATTAAAATATTCTACTTTAAAAATATTTGCAGTGAGGTGTGCTGTTTAATCAGCTTAATTAAAAGAAATTGTGTAGTTCTATTTGATCCCTAGTTATATGAACTAGTCAAAAACTGAGACTCTCTCTTAGATAAATAATCTTTTTACAAAGGTCACGACTTCTTTTCTGACTTCTGACTAACTGCTCATTCTTGACTGTTTAATTGAAGCAACTGGTTGTTCCTATAAAGTAGAAAAAGCCCATCCTTGCATTGCCATGAGTAAGCTAAAGCTTTTTGAAGACGATGCCATCTTGAATTTTGCCACATCAAAGATTTCAAACCGGTGTCAACATCCTAACTGGTTTAACCAACATGTTCTCTGTTCAAACCACAACTCTTCATGTTGACATGTCTACTATGACCAGCTACATAGCTTTGGCCCTCAATTCTACAAGCTTGCATTAATGGGAAGATGCCTAAGGACATGACAAGTTGTAATCCACATTTACTTTTACGGCTAGAAAGATACACAAGCTCCCATTTAATGCCTTGGCTTCTTCCACAGCCTGCCCATGTGCTGGCAGGAGACTGTCCCTCTTTCACAACCTACTCACAGGACTGGCAAGTTCTCCTGCTGCCAACAAGGAATGGGAATGAATGGCAGACTGTCTCAGCACAAAGACCCATCAGGTACACACATACAGAGAGAACACAGGAAGAGTGGAGTGAGGACACAGTAAGAGGCTAGATGTTGTGACAGGACTGTTCCTGCCACAGCTGTGCTAACCTCTTCTACCACCCAGACTGACTCCATGCTACAGGCCTGCTCAGCATTAGCATCACCTTTGCAGCCTCCTCTGGGAGAACATTCTTGGTCTGCTCCGCAGATCTCAGAATATGTTTACAATTTCTAAAAAGCACAGGCCTGAAAGATTTTTCATTTGCTGTAGCTGTCAGTTCAGCAGCAGCTCAGTTAAGTACAGGATGTGGAAGCAGAAAAACACAGCTGAAGAGCAAGTTGCTTGCTCACAAGATCCGTTGAACACCAGCATAGAAAGAATTCTTTGAATGAGAAAAATCCTGTCAGTCAGGCCTGCTCAGGCCATTCTGTCAACAAGCAGTCCTACACTTAGAACAGGCTAGGTTCAACTACAGCACACGTGTAGCTTCACAGGGCTACATAACACTGGGGATGAGTACTCACAAGCTCATTTGGCCCAGCTCATTTTGTATGGCCAACACAAGGTCCAAAAGACTTCTGGCAGCAGTAGGTGATGTGCAACAAGAAGATACAGATTTGGAAGGTGCACTGCGTCCTGAAATCCCAGATGTAGCTCCTCCTTGGCTTCGTGATGACATACGTGGATTGTGATGCTTCATAATATGCAACACACTTTGTAGGTTTGCACTAACAGAATGGCTGGAGCTGACAGACTTAAAGCAGAATTATGAAGTGGTTTACAGAACTGATTAACAATTACAGTAAAGAAATTTATTCAAACTGTAGATGCCAATTTAGGGAGAACATTTGGCTTCACTCACCTTCCCAGCCACAAAAGGTAGTTCACCAGCCTGTACATGTAACAGTGAAAGGTGACTTTTCTTCACTGTAGGATTTCTCTGCCATTAAGATAGACAGGAAAAGTAAGACAAGAAATATCAATCTGTTGACCCAATAGTGCAATCTTGAACTTTTTTTTTTTAAATAAGTAAAGTTCAAATAAACAAGGAGTGAAATGCATCATCTCAGCTTCCCTCTGGTTTAAAAAAACATAGTTTCCCTCCTGTATGTGGAAGGAGTAGGACTTTCCAACAGCTGAGACAAGTAAATTTTATTCCAGATGGGCTTAGCAGGTAGTCTGACAAATAGGTTGTCATTAAAGGAATTGAATATTGCTTACTTAAGTTTGTAAAACCACAGTTGCAAAATTTTGACTGACCTGTAACGTGTTGCAAAATGAATTCTCTTGATTTCAGCAATCCCCCAAAACACACCATCTTAAATGCCTAGTTAAAATTCCTTTGGAAACTACTTTTGCCAGATAAACTGAAAGGCAGCTAAGACAGGACATGGGGGATGGCAGTCAGAGTGCAACAGAGGTTATTGTCATGGTGGTAAGGCTAAGTTTTCCAGTGAGGTGCTACTAGCGGTTTTAATTACCGAAGGAAAAAAACAAAAAGAGGTATTCAGCACTGTTCTTCACTTTGGAAATGTAGTAAGCTGCAGCAGATAAATCAAGTGCCTCTAACATCACAGTTTTTCACAAATCGCTATCTCTATGCAAGTCAGATGCTATCAGCAACAGTACGCTCATAAAAACTTTCATGTTACCTTTTTCGTTTTTTTCTTCTTCCTGTTTTCCTTTTTAGGTTCATTTTGAGATGTTACTGAAGACATCAAAATTCTGTTTATCTCAAATCCTGTTTGAAGCTGTGGGAATAAGCAAAAAAGAAAACCATTTAATATGGTTTTAGAAGTATTAAATCACATGGCCTAATTAATTCCCTCTTTCATGCATGGAGGAGAACCAATTAAGGGCGCTATTAACAGTCCTGCTTGGAAGTCATAAGCTACACTTAAAAATGGAACAGACTACTGGCATGGCAAGGTATGAGGCAGATCTTGCAGCTCTGTCTTAGAGGCCCTAATTTTCATACTCAGCTGCAGCAGCTGTGTTTTTCCACTGTGCAACCAGCAACTGAGATAAGCCAGTGCTGCTCCATGCTGGGGGTCTGATCATAAAATCCTAAGAATAAGAACATTTGGATTTTACAATCCAGGGTCAGAACTGAGCCCGTCCGTGTAGCATTGAGGTCAAACCTGCTGGACAATCCTCGCGTTGCTCTGTAGTTCAAAGTTGTTGTAAAGGCCCATGATAAACAGGATAATAGCCATTCCCAAGTAAACACAGGGCAAGGACTTTGCTTTGGCATATGGAACGGTTCCAGATAAACAGTGCTGGAGATCCACCATGAAAGTGAGATTATTCTAGCTTTTCTGTCATCAAAAGGAAGTGAACAACCCCACACTCTGTATTTCCCAACCCAGATCCAACAGACCTAAACCAATCCTACGGCGAACTAAGATGGTAGTAGATAGTTAAGGACTCAGTTTACTACACCTAAGTCCTTCTTGAGTAAACATTTATACTACTGCTAAAGTGAGACTATCTGCTCTGGGAAAGTCATTCTTACTATGTTTCTCAGAGTATTAAATCTCCATACTAGGCCTTCTGCTCTGAAGCAGCAAGCGGTTTAAGCAAGAAACCCCAAAACCTGCAAGTTTTCAACTGTGTCATTCTGCTGGATTCTGGAGGTGGTCAGACACCTGGGCTACAATCTGCATGTTATTTCAAACTTCCTGGCCTGATGAAAGCCCATCATCCTTGGATGAGGTATAGAAACTGACAGCAGTGATGAGTTAATTTAAGCTGTCATCTTCGCTTAGGGCTAGGTTCTTTCAATACTATTCTTCAACTCTGCATCCCCCCAACCAGCCTCAAGGGAATGCCACCACAACGCCTCTCTTTCAACATGGCTGTTGTTTCTCAGCGAAGAGAGGTTTGGAACACCAGTGCTTTGCCCCTTTAACAAAAGGTTCCTTTGATTTTGCTCTCTTTGGCAAATATTCCTCTCTCGGATGGATGATGACCCAACGAACTGACTATGGCTTCACAGAATAATGAATTATTCGAGATCTAACTTAATGAACTATGTAAGAGGATCACTGGTTAAAGACTTTTCCAAGCATAGTCCGGTATATTATAATTCAGCAAATCTTAACAAAAAGCGGAAAACAGAATAACCACCCCTACTTGGGGTATAAGGTTTCTTAGATGACCACTTTCTAGTTACTGTAAGTTACAGTTATCTGATTTAGTTGCAGATTCTCTAGAAGTTCATTTTCTACCCAGATCACCTACAGCAGCTTTGAGGCTGATGAACTGTATCATTAATATGAAACCAAGTAGAATCTTCCTTGACTGAGATAAGTAACATAGCTGGAAAGCCTTCTACTACATATTTTATAACTGGTCTGGGTAGCATTCCAGGAGTTCTCCCTGGGTAGTAAACATGTGGAGTTTAAATGTAATAAAAAAGAATATTTTGGACAGAGAGAATAGCTTTCTTTAGTAATTAAAAATAAACCCTTTTCAGTCTACCTGAGCAGTTTTGTCTTGTATTAGCTTACGCTGATGCTCTTCTTTACAAAGCTTTTCTTCTAAGCGTTTGATCTTGTCCTGAATTTGAAAGCAAGAACGATTAGTCACACTTCAGTTAGCCATGCTGAATCACAAGTCTGAGGTAGCTTGCAATTGTAATCTGGGATAAAGCAGGACTGTAGAAATTTTTAAAGCCCAGGCTGAAAAAAAGACGCATGCAAATGAAGCCAAGGTGGCATTCAGTCAGGTATGCCTTATGATCTTAACTTTAACAGAGGAAACCTGTGCAAAACTTTGCACTATTAACAGTATGCCATACAAATTATATCAAATTAATTACTTTCAGACTATCATTTCATGCATGCTTACTTCTGCAATTCTCTGAGTAGCAGTAAGTTTAAGACACTCTTTTTCTAGCACTTCAAGCTTATCGAGTTTTGCATGCAGTTCCATCCGGTTCTGATCTTCTTCTTTCTGAAGCTGGGCCTGGAAAAAAGTAGGCAAGAATGGAGTTGGCAGCTGACTGAAATTGTTTCAGACTCAAAAAAAATACACATGCTGCAGTAAAGGTGTTAAACTAGTTCAAATTTCATATTTTTTATATTGCAAAGTGATGAAAAATATCAGGCAGACAAAGAAGGCTCAAGTCTCCAGCAGCCTTTTTGTCTACCAAATGTGCAAGTATTAGCATGGTTTTGCTCGTTAGGAGTTCCACCTAGGGAGTCTTTCCATACAATTCATTGTACGGTTGTCATCAGGCAGTCAGACAGTAAATTGCTTCCGTTTGCTACCACCCTGAGCAGAGCTGAGGAAGAATGATGGCCATAAAAAATTCAGATCTTACACATTTCTGTACTTTTTAACTATATCAGTAATTTTAGGATGCTAAAAGGCTTCACCTGTCGTTCTAAAACCATTTTCTTCTCTAGTCCCACACTGGAAACCATTTTCCTCATGTAATCCAGCTGTTTCTCCAGCAGGGAGCAGCGGGATTGTGCTGCATTTAACTGCACACTTATATCTACAGAGAGAAACAAAGACAGTACAGCAATGGGAGTTACACTTTTAGCCAGTCTGGCATCTCTGTCTTCAAAACATCCAAGAAAAGTTTTGTTAGTCTGAACAAGTCATGTGGTTAAAATATATTTTATATACAAGACATGAGAATCAAAATGTTTTTCCAGAGCTGGTCCCTACTATGAATTCCAAAGCTGTGAGCACTGCAGTTACTTTGATTTCTATCAGCAGATATCTAACCAGAATCTCATTTATTCCTTTCTCCTAACTTTTCTCAAGTTAGCAGTGTTAAACATCTAAGCAGCTGCTTGCTTATTGCAGGAGTTAAACATACCACCTAAAATGGCCTTATTCTTTAGAACAGCCTTATGGATTATGCAATACTTGGGTAATGTATGTAAAAACAAGATCTTGATTGACAATTATTAGGCTCCTGCCCCTCCTCAATTCTGAAGCAAAAAAGAAAGGTGTGTTTGTGTGTGTGTGTGTGTGTGCGCATTAATTAGCAGTTTGTCAAAACAAACAAACACTCCCTGCATTATGCAGTCTTGGAGCTGCTGTGGCTACACCTTATCACTCAAGAGAAATACCTTTCCTCTGTTGCATCAGTTCCTGATGTGCTACGTCCTTTTTGTAGGATTCATGCTCTAAGGCCTTCTTATACTGAGCAGCTTCTACGGAGAGGCTGCACAGTTTATCTTCAGCCTGTGACTTCTCCAGCTCTAGACGGTGGATCTTGTCTTGGAGAGTTTTCAGAGCAGCCACCACAGCTAGCAAACAATGCAACAGTTACACCTTAAGTAACAGTTCCTTTTTCCTTTTTTTTTTTTTTTTTGCACAAAACACTTCAAACAGCAATATCCCATCTAAATGTTCTTCATAGGATCACCCCTAAAATGAATTCTATTCCCCTGCAGCACACTAACATACTCAGAACATATCTGGGAGAAAATGGACAGGTTTATCACATAACTGAGGTATGAAGCACAGGTCCCATGAGCAAAGCTATTTTCACTCCAAATGTTAGCAGGCATGAAGAAATCATGGCACGTTCACACAGAAGCAGGGAACACAGGTTTCCAAGTTAGGTCACAATTTTTGGTGTAATACAACAGTGTAGACAGATTTAAAAAAAAAAAAAGGGGGACATAGGGCAATGGGGAAATTAGACACAAAGGGACATTTTAGTAGAGGATGCATTTAAAAAACTTTATTGTTTCAAAAGGTAATTCAACGTCTAGTTTCCTGTATTGAATTATTTTTTGTTTAAACCATAAAAACAATTCTTCAAGATTTTGCTTGTAGCCTCACATCTATGAGAGTCAACCTTCTCCACACACACACCCCGCCCCCATTGCAATTTCAGCTACAACAAAAAGTCTACTAGCTTTCCAAAACGCATACACACCTGTGGAAGTTTAAGACACATTCTATAACAAGTCAAGCTTCTTTTCTGACATTTCATCAGCCTTGATAGTTTCCCTATAACAATTCTCTCAACAGAGGAGTACCCAGCAAATATTACTAGCTCCATAACAACTCTCATCAGCTTCCCATAGCCCCATTAGAATTATAAATCAATCAATCCATCAGATACCACAGAACAGAAAGATGAAGTGGGACCACTTCTTGCATGCCAACCATTTCCTTACTTAAACACATAGATGCAGAACATTAAACTGAAGATTTTAAACTCCATATGAGAGAAGGTTATTACAGAAGTCACAGATTCTTGATACGGTGAAATAAGTGAAAGAACAATGATCACGTACACACACACACACAGAGGCTATGTCTGTGCAATATTGCAAAGCTGTCCATCATAGCAAATCCAAGTATGGTATCCTTGTGATTCACTGACCTCTCCAGACATACCAAGCCACCGAGCATTTGTCCTGTGAGCTCCGGAGAGTAAGCACCCATGAAGGCCCAGGATAACCATATGGGAGCTGTATTTCACACAGATATGTTGCTTACTTCCCTGAGAGTCTGCTTTATTCACAGTTTCTCCCAAGGAATCATACCACTCAAAAAAAACCCTTAAAAGTGATTTTAAGCGAGACGGAGTTGAATAGCACTATGCAAAGCCAATTTCAAGTGAGGGCACCATACTATGACCTTTTTTATTTCTGTATTTAAAGTCATAAACTGCTTCTGCTGAGATTGAAGTATTCTCCTTTGCCTTTAGAGGAAGTCCAATGATTTTAAGTTAAACAGTTTTCAAAGCCAAAGTTTATAAGGATGTTACAAGACTTGCAGCAGTTTCCATTCCAGACCTATGACTTCAGGGAGACCACTCCCGCAGGACACATATACATCCTGTCTCAATGTCATTCTGATAATCACAGCAAGTCATTGAACTGAGTCAAACAGAACGGGGAGTTTGCTCAAGAGATTTCACATGGAACAATTAAGAAGATCACTTTAAGGACGTATTTTGGCTTTACCTTGGTCACTGGGGATAGAAGGCCTGTCACCACCAACAGCTGCCAACTTCTTTGATTCTCTATAAGCAAAGGCTGCAGGAAGCATCTTATCTGGTGGCCGAAGAAAGCTCCCTATGAAACTGTTCTTTGATTCAAAATCCATAGCCTGTAAGAAAGAGAGCTATTTAATGCTGTTATCTCTATAATGGACTATGTAACAGTTTTCAAAGTGTGTCACTGGGCAGTCCCTGGCTCTCTTTATATCAAATAAGATCATGTGCACCAAAACAATAATTAAAAAAACCCCACACATCCCCAGATGAATCCTGTATTTTAAAACAATTCCGAAACAATGCCTTTCATAACATTAAACATAGCTCTCCTCAACCACCCAAAATTTTTTAAGATTTTTCTCAGTGCTTTCTAATAACCTATGCTGATATTGTACTTTTAAAAGCCAAGGATTATCAACATTTTATATTATTTACGTTACAGACTTTAGTCTATGCCTCTTGGTGTTCCCTGCCTGTTTTCATTTGCAGCCTCCTTAGTGCTCTAACACCTACATTTTTACATATGGCTTTATTACATAATGAAGACATGGTTCTCCACATTTAATGTCAAGATAACAAAAGGATATTTAACATGCAATATCCCCAGAATTCTCCCCATTATTAAGCCTATGTATTAAGCCCTATTTCTCCACTTCCCTTCTGCCCCACCCTTTCAAATTCTTTGTCAGAAGCACTTTTGAAAACAGTCTACACCCCACCAAATAGTGATTTTCCCTGATACTCAAGACATGCACAGTGAAACTTGCAGAAATTGCTTTAGTCTAATACAATCTCTGAGAGAGCAAACCCTTAAAAGATCAGCCCTTATGCACCCTTTGACAAGTCATTCAAGCCTCATTTGGTTGTTTACTCTGGGAATGCTATGACAACCAAGCATGGGCCACACGTCACCTGAAGGAAAAAGGTGGAAAAAGTACTACCATTAAAGAGGTATTTAATAACTGTGGACTTACTGGTACTGTAAACATAGTGCTTGTTAAGCTTTTTCATTGCATTCTTTGCTCTTCTACTCATCTACTTGCCCTACATCCACAGGAACAGCAGAGACAATTCAAAAGTTGCACAAATGCTTCCCTCAAAAACATATACTGTTGTCCATTTTAGTAAGGGTCCTATTAACCTACACTTCAAAAACTGAGAGTTGCTCACTTTGGAAAGCTGTTACCAGGTAGCAAGCATAACCAACATATCTAGAGAAGGAAGTTAAAAGCAGATTTTTAATCACAGCACAGCTACCTAGCAAAGTAGTACCAAGCACTTCACTTGATACAGGGTAAGAAATGAAGAGTATATACAGCTTCAGCTGATAGAAAAACAGCTTATTTGAAGGTTCAATGATACAACAACTATGGTCTGTAACAACTGTGAAGTTTAAAATACAGGGCACATAACTGGAACAGGCTTTCCGCTATGGCAGGGCTATTTACAGACACTCGTTCCCAAGAAAGTCACCCAAAGGAGGTATCTAGTAACAGAAAGAAGAAATCCTGACCAAGACTGGAACCTGCTGATGAAGCACACCCCAGGAAAAACCATTCATACTGGTTGGACAGGGAAGAACTTTTTCAGTGAAGGAGTACGTTTCCAGGAACAGCTCCTCCAGCACTGTTTCAGAGGCCATGTAAAACAGAAAAATCAGCATCCATCCACACCGCCTCTTCAAGATATGCACTACACCAAAGGTACACAGAAATACTTTCTTCCTCCCCCAAGTTGTCATCACGGAGACATTGACATGAGCATCACTTTGCCAGGGCTTGCTTTGCTTGGGGCCTCCCACACAGCACTGCTACTGTGCACTAACACACCCGGGCAGATCCCACAGTTCAGGGTGGCCCTCCAGCACCGGCACGGCCCTACCTGGCACTGGCATGGACCCCCCATACCAGCACAGCCCTGCAGACCCAGGGGAGCTGCCCAGGGGCCCTGCCGCCATCCTGCCCATGACAACGGGCCACCCGGAGCCCAGGCCACAAGGCCTCAGCACTGGGTCAGCAGCTGCGGGCAGCCAGGCATGCCACCATCTCTGGCAAGTGGCCCCACCTGGTCACCCTGCCACATTTATGTCCACACAAGCCATTTATGGGCCTCCCTCCCACTGTGCAGGGACACCCAACCAACTTCAACAGCCAGTTGGGCATATCAGCCACTTCCAACTGCACAAGGGGCAGTGGCAGTGAGGGGCACGAAGCAGGGAGCAGCAGAAATCTCAAGACATGGATGGGAAAGTCCTGTGGCCACAGGGAGGGTCAGGGCCGAGACAGGAGAGGAGACAAGCCTGGCATGACATGGTGCACCAGCACAGTATCCTATAAAATAAGAAATAAGCAAGACACCAATTTTCTCATTGCTTCTCAACCCCTGCACATTGGTGATGAAAAAGATCAGCAAAACAGGTCCGTACAGATAGGCATGTGCACACACAACGAGTTTCCTACCGCTGCTATGAAAAGGGGAAGGCATCTCTGGAAACTCCAGAAGAAGGTGGTTGTTGCTCATTCCATCTAACCTTCTGGCAGTCAGCATAAGTGGAGACTCGCTTTTCCAATGTCCTCCAGTGGAACATGGCTCCCTCGCATGCCTGCAGCTGCCTCGCATCAATTAGTTTCCTTATTACTGTCACATAAACAAGTTCTGCTGTTTCCAAGGAGATGGGTCTGTGGACGGTTTAAGGAGGGTGGTGATCCGAAGCAAATAATGAATAACAGAGGGAGGGAATAAAGCACCAGAGAATTTGAGAGTTTTTGTGTGGTTAAACTCGGTAACACAAAAGTGGGGGGACATGGTGGACACCTATTCGGGAGAAAGGGAAGTAAAAACCCTTTAGTTCTGCAAGTGAAGCAGAGGAAAGAGAAGAGGCCAGGTCACCAGCCCAGTGATGGTGATCCAGCTAATCCAGTGTGGGCTTCCGCATGAAAACCCACAATTTTCCCAGCAGAGCAGAGGGTAATACGCACCCTGCAGCTGGAGGAGGGAGCTCCTCAAGTTACTGGGGCTGCGAAGGAATACAACACTGCAGGACCGAGACACCTTGTTTGCAGAATCTCTTCTGTGGACATAGTTACGGAGGCCTGGCTTTGCCCCAGCTTTCTCAGCTGCAGAGGCTGTGTGAAGTGATGAAAAACTGAACATGAGCTGGCAGTGTGCGCTGGCAGCCCAGAAAGCCAACCGTATCCTGGGCTGTATCCGGAGAGGTGTGGCCAGCAGGTCAAGGGAGGTGATTCTGCCCCTGTACTCTGCTCTGGTGAGACCCCACCTGGAGTGCTGCATCCAGCTGTGGAGCCCTCAATATCAGAAGGATATTGACCACTTGGAGCGAGTCCAGAGGAGGGCCACGAAGATGCCCAAAGGGCTGGAGCACCTCTGCTATGACGAAAGGCTGCGGGAACTGGGCTTGTTCAGCCTGGAGAAGAGGAGGCACCGAGGAGACCTCATTGCAGCTTTCCAGTATCTGAAGGGGGCCTACAAGGGTGCTGGGAGAGGACTTTTTACAAGAGTCTGTAGTGATAGGACAAGGGGTAATGGGTATAAATTGATATCAGGGAGGTTTAGATTAGATGTCAGGACGAAATTCTTCACAGAGAGGGTGGTGAGGCACTGGAACAGGTTGCCCAGAGATGTTGTGGAGGCCCCATCCCTGGATGTCTTCAAGGCCAGACTGGATGTGGCTTTGAGCAACCTGGTCTAATGCAAGGTGTCCCTGCCCATGGCAGGGGGGTTGGAACTAGATGATCTTTAACGTCCCTTCCAACCCAAACCATTCTATGATTCTATGATTCTATGATTCTAAGTGGGCTGAGGAAACGATTGCTATAGTGCTCGGAGGTTCTGTCAGTCTAATTACTCTAGTTAGTAGAGGTGCTCTAGTGTAGATAAGTCCTTTAATATCTTCACAGGTAAACACAGTTTTTAACAACCCTGCTGCACAGGAGCACTGTCTACATTACCTGCAGACCTCAGGCAAGGACACGGGCCAGGAAAAGGACCAAGTGCCCCTACAGCACCAAGACATCACCAAACATCCTGGCCACTTGCAGCCCACTAGGACAAGAATCCTACCAGGAAATAATTAAATAGTTTGACGTATGTTTGGACGTCAACTGTCCTACCATTGCCTTTTTCTCCCACAAGTATTTAAGTTTCTATAAAACCATCAGAGACAGGTTTGCTTTTTAAAAAGGGTTACACAGCCCACATCCATTGCACCACTCTCTCATTCCACGCTAGTGGTAGACAGCCCTAGAGAGGTACTTTAAAGCAGATAGTGCTTCTCGAATGGCAACGTTTGTACTAATGTAACTCCATGAGGCTTAGGGGGATTTAGCACTTGAACAACACTTGTTAAAGCAGCCAAAACACCGCTGTTTAGACAAGCCCTTCGTTGAGAAAATTAGTGCACTCCTTCAAGTTTGGAGAACAGCCAAGGGAGAACTATGCATTTTAAACGGAGGATGACAAAATAGCCAGGTTTCATGCAGAGGGGAGGGGAGGGAAGTAACGCCCGACTCCCACCCCAGCTGCCTGCACCGCACCGGGGAGGAGTGAGGGGGAACCTTCACTTGTGTTGTGCAGGTTGCATCCAGACTCACTGCAGCCCTTTGGGGTTTTTAACCAGAAATTACCCTGCATTGGTGGACGCAGTGGCAATGCTCAGATGCCCAGTGTTATTTTACACAGAAAAAGGCAAAGGACACAGTTTGTACATACCCTGCATCAGGCACAGGGCAATTTAGTGCTGCCCAATGGCTTGCCAATAACCATCAGTCTGGCCAAGCCACCTATGCTGTCTCCAGCCCTGAGCTAGGAGGCTTCTGGAGTGCTGCACCGCACAGTTGCAACCCGGTGCACAGTGCATGGTGCCAGGTATAGCAAATGAGCTCTGCGACAGCACTGCACTAATGCAATTACACTGCCTACCTCCTGCCTTGCTGCAGCCAGGGTATGAGGATGAGCAGAGCTGGTCCCTGCAGTGAGACCACTTCTGCCCGCTGGCTCACCGTCACATGCGAGCCAGGAGCAAGCTTGCCCAAAGGCTGTTGGGGAGCAATCCTGTCATCAGGATTGCTGCATATGTGGCTTTCATACCTCA